GCGAAGGTATGCTTAGCAACGACGAATATTGATCTAACATGGTGACATTGGCGCCCAACAAATCGGGCAATGGTTCACCATCCTTTAGCCATGTTAATTTCAAAGGTGGATCGCCACGTGATACACCACAGACGGTGCGTGTACGCATACCTTCGGCTAGACCATCTTGAAAAACGAAGGGCTCTATGATGGGCGGTACTGCAACAAGAAACGAAAAACAAAATATACAACTGAATCTCGTAGTTTTTTCTTCCAAATAAAAACCAAAATCATAAAACCATCGAATCGAATCAAGACATTGTTAAGGTAGTGGGCTGGGGTTATATTGTGTTGCGTTGTCATCTCCAGGTTTGTATTAATGAATGGGTGATGCCGCCGCAGATAATCCTGTATATATTGTTTACGTAGATTTTTTTTTACATTCTAGTTTGTTTTCAATGCTGTGGAACATAGAATTTTTCATGATTAAATCTATAATAAAATACATTGGTTGGTTTAGTTTTCAAATTAACTGCAGCGCTTTAAAAACTCGTTATAGAAAAACGTATTCATTTTTTTTTATTAAAAAAATAAATTTTTCTCCAAAAAAAAATCGTTTGTTTTGAGCTAAACAAATATATAAATAAATCTTCGCAGTGGTTTTGGTTTTCGATTCATTTAATTATGTATGCGAAAATATGTGTATGTACACATTTAGATATGTGCATGTATGTATTTATGTGTGTACATAAAAATATATCTATTGTGGTGATTTGTTTTCCTATTTACATTTATCAATATATAATGGATTATAAAACAAAATAATAATATACAAATATATAAAATAACATGGAAGAAAAAAGTGTTATAAACTAAATGAATCAATTATATATACAATTGTATATACGTTATATTATATATAACAGAGTAAATAGTGTTGAAAAAAGAAATGTAACAACATTACAAAAGATTTAATAAAAATCAATATGTGAATGAAAAATTTGTTTAAAATTAAAATCTAAATATTATTATGATGTCCATTTTTTCCTGTTTCTTCGTTAGGAATAAAACGAAAAAAAAACTTTTGTTTATATTTAATTACGTATAAACATATTTGTGCATTCGATTAAAAACTATATGTATATATATTAAATACAAAATTTACAATTACAAAAAAGTTGAAATGTTAGATAAAAACATTCATGTGAATATGAAAAAAATTGCAATAGTTCGCAATACATATATATTGAAAATATAAAAAAAAAATTACAAAATTCAAAAAAAAAAAAAAATAATTATGTATATGTTATCGATGATTTTGAAATTGATATATAGAAATCATGTACTCATTTCGTGGAAAAAAATAATCGAAATATTTTTTATCTGTTTTTATATTTCGGAGAAAATTTATCTGTACAAAAATTCTGCCGAGGAACTTATCGCGATTTAAGAGGAGGTGATGGTTTCCATAATCCTCCAGCTACGCAAGCAATATCAAAATTGTGAAGAAATTTGATGATACTGAAGCGGTTACAAATATTGTCAGGCGTGTGCATCATGGTTTCGTGAAGTGGAAAAATAACCGAATGTGTCAATTCTTCATCATATTCGGGAATTTGGACTACCTTACGGCACATTATGACATATTTTGCATTTATGTCTACACCTACATCCATATAAAGCCCAGCTCAAGCAAAACTGAAACTAGCTGACCATTCTCATAGTCGTAGATAAGAGGAATGTGTGCTTGAAAAACACGCTGTGGGCGGTAATTCGAAAAAATGTTCTTCAGCGATAAAGCACATATCTCACGCGGTGGATATGTTAATAAACAAAATGTTCATATTTAGAGATCTGAAAATCCTCAAAAATCAGGAAAAAACATCAATGTTTGGTATGCTCTTTGATGACAAGGTGCGATTTGGATTGGATTTTTCGTCATCGAATACGACGGTGGAACGACTCTCACCGTCAATTCGGAGCGTTATGGTAATATGATAATCACCTTTTTTGCCTGCTATGGAAGAGTATGACTTGGAGAATATGTGGTTTCAGCAATACGGAGCCACAGGGAGCGAATATGGCTTTATTGCAAAAGACATTTCCTACCCTCGTATTTTCTTATCGTGGCGACACACCGTGGGCGAAATTCTGATCTAGCGGGGGAAAAGTCCAAAAATTAACATCCACATATTTGAAAAAAAAACTTTTTTACAGTATTCGTGAACACATATTGGTGGACTCAAACATAGAAAATAGATTTTAAGGTTTTGTTTGGGGCTGATAAAATCGTTTTTTAATGTTTTATTGCCAAGTAGTATAGCAAATGTTCCTGTTAATAGTTCATGTATTAATTTTATCAGATAGTTGGGATGTGAGAATTAATAAAATAACCAGTAAGGAAAGTAGTAAAGTCGGACTGGGCCGACTATATGATACCCTTCACCACTTTGGGTATATGCTACATATGTATCCGAAAAGACGCCGCCATTCTGAAGGAATTTTGACATAAAATTGAACGAACTTAAATATGTAATGTGTATGTCTTTCTGGAACCTATGCTAAATTTCATTTCATTTGGACAAGTTTAGAGTCGTTTGCGCCCTGTGTAAATCGATTTAAAGCAAACTTGACACACACTATTCGGTATGCTGCACTGTTTAAAATATAATCTCAATCAGACACCTATTGATTATTTTGTGTACAATTAACATAAGTCGAAATTATATATGGAAGCTACGATATATCTATATCTGAACCGATTTGAAGCAAACTTGCCAGAGATTAATTTATATTAATTTCAGTGCGTTGTGTCAATCGGCCTAGCTTTGGATCTTTAGTGCACAATTTACTTAAAATCGGACAAAAATATATATAGAAGGTGTACACATCATTCTAGACTTAATTCAATACACTATGCCAAAATTCGTGCAAATCGAATGATTTTCAGAGACTTTGGTGCACCATTTACCTAAAATCGGACGAAACTATGTATGGAAGCTATATCTAAATCTGAACCTATTTTCACGAAACTTAGCACACATCATTCAAGACCCAATTCAGTATGCTATACCAGATTTCGTGCAAATCGAATGATATATAGGGTCTTTGGTACACCATTTCCCTTAAATCGGGCGAAAATATATATGGGAGCTATATTTGAGCCAATTACCACCAAACATAACACACATCATTCTAGACTTAATTCAATACCCTATGCCCAAATTCGTGCAAATCAAATGATTTTCAGGGACTTTGGTGTACCATTTACCGGACGAAGCTATATATGCGTGCTATATCTAAATCTATACATCAATCATTACGATATGCCAAATTTCGTGGAAATCGTAAGATATATAGGGACTTTAGTGCACCATTTACATAAAATCGGACGAAAATACGTGTTGGAGCTATGTTTAAGTCGGTACCGATTTTTCACTTATTACACATCATTCTCTACCTAATTCAGTACTCTACGCCAAATTTCATGCAAATCGAATAATATATATGGACTTTGGCGCACCATTAACCCTAAATCGAACGAAACTATTTATGGGAGCTATATCTAAATCTGGACCGATTTTCTCGAAACTTGGTACACATCATTCTGCACCAAATTCAGTACTCTGTGCCAAATTTCGCGCAAATCAAATGTTATATAAGGACTTTGGCGCACCATTTACCTAAAATCGGACGAACATATATATGAGAGCTATATCTAAATCTGAACCGATTTTTCCCCATTTCTATAGGGTTCGTCCTTGGCCCAAATAAGTGACTTGTGCCAAATTTCATCTAAATCGGATTATAAATGCGACCTGTACTTTGTTTACAATTTAACATCTACAGACGGACGGACGGACGGACAGGCATAAATCGACTCAGAAAGTGATTCGATGCATATTCTCAAAAAGAACCATGTGTCTATCTCGTTTCATTTTGCCTGTTACAAACATATGCACAAAGACATAATACCCTGTACCGCAGTGTGGTGAAGGGTATAAAAATAGGAATAAAAGTCTAAAAATAAACTCCTAAATTTCCATCTGCTATTTTCATTTTATTGCAATTTTAAACGAATGATCATCTAAAGGACACACCTTCTCGAAAGGACACACCTTCTCGAATTATGGGTTAAACGCGATTAAGCCACCGCGAAATAAATTTCAGTTGACCATAATGCCCCGTTATATTCCGAACGTGCTCCTATATTCACAAATTTTTGTAATGCCGACTTATACCCACAGATTAGTTATTAACAAAAATCATAGTTCAAAAATATTAAAAATACCTTAATTTAGGGCCCAATATATTTCAAATAGTGGTCGGAAATTGCCTCAAAAGAGTTGCAACAAAAATATGCAACAATTCGCCTGGAGGCCATTTAAATAATGTAGTATTTCACATATAATGTTAAGCGTTGAAATTTTAAATGGGGAAGCCCTTGAAAAGAATTTTTATATCACAAATTTATAAGTGAAATTTTCAATCGAATGATGCTTTTGCAGAAAATTTCAATACAAAATCACACATTGGCGATTTTCCGCAAATTTTCAAAGAACTTGTAAAGATTTTCTAAAGTTTATATTTGTAAATTTTTCACTTTGTTATTTTTTATTAAATAATCATAGCAAACACAAATAAATTAAAATCAACCTTCCGATGATCTTTAAAAAATCATTTAAATGATCCAATTTAAAATTCCCGTAGAATATCAATAGTTGCATTCATTTATTTCAATTTCAAAACCACTCTGCTACATATTCATAGTATGGTATATATATTTACATATACATATGTATTAATCTATTATAAACATATGTATGTATTTATAAAACTACATTAATGTAAAACAAAAAACCAAACAACAAAAACTTGAATAACGTGAATATTGGTTATTGGGTTCAGTCTTGTTAATTATACGCATAGTGGAACTAAAAAAAATCGAAGAATACAAAACAAAAAAACTACATAGTAGAGTACAATGCCATTTTTGTTGACAGACAAAAGCATTTGTTTACCATTAACCAATAACGATTGGGAGTTTTCCACTTCAGCTGCTGAATTGCGTACCACACACGAATAATTGCCCGTATGGTCGGAGCCTAGGTTTTCAATGACCAGTATGCTGTTGTATTGGTCCACTTGTTTGACGGACATGTGCTGGGTGGCATCGATGGGTCGATTGTCTTTGCGCCAGGACATGGTCAGCGGCAAATCACCCTTGACAACGGAACAGGTCAACGATGCGCGGTCGCCCATATTTAATTGCAATTGTGCTGATTGAAAAGGACTCAATTTCGGCGGTACTGTGAATTGAAGGTAGTGTACAATATTGTTTTGGGTTATAAATGTAGTGAAGCAGTAAAGCGTAACAAATTATGAAAATACCAACAACAAAAATGATTGAAATTAAATTCTGCAAATGACATTTTTTCATTTGTTTATGCAAATTTCGAAGCACATCAAAAAAACCAAATTAGAACAAAACAAAATAACCAAAGCAAACACAAAAAATAAGCAGCAGCAACACCAGCAGGTGATGTGATATTTTATTGGTTTCTTTGTGAAGTACAGTCATTTGGCCGGCCTTTAATCCTTACATCGTTGTACACATCCAAGTTGATACTGGTTCACGGATTCTAACTAAATATTATTTATTATGATTTTTTATGTATATTAAATAGGCATCATTGCATGTATCCAGGTTATTCGTATAAACCGACATTAATTATGGAATTTTGTGAAAATACTAACCAATAACCGTCACTTCGCCGCTGCGACGAGCACTGTGTCCTTGTTTGTTACGTGCCCAACATGTATAAACGCCCGAATCAGTGTTTTTTTGCACCGGTGATATTGTCAGCGATCCATCCGGCTGTACACGTTGTCGAATATCGTCGGGTAGTTCACGTCCACCTCTCTCCCAATGAATTTCTTCGATGGGATAACCAGCAACGGGACATTTCAGATTTAATGTTTCCCCAGAGACTGCTGTAACTTTGGGAATAATGCGAATATACGGAAGACCTGCAAGCAAAAAAAATGTTATTTTTATAGAACTACGAAAGATTTTATTATAACCACTTAAAACATTAGAACTAAATACAATTGAAATTGCTTATAATGGCGGCCAAGCGATCAACGTAGAAAGAGGTCGTTACAGCCGATGTCGTTATCGCTTGTAAACTCTCTTGTGTGGGCATTCTTAAGGGACAGAAATTCGGGAATTTGTGTTGCCGTCGTTATAGATGATAAGTCGGTTGGTCGATTAAAATGTTGTTCTCACAGTGACATATTATTTCAAATCAAAATACACATGTTTTGTATGGATGTGTATTATTTTGAATACGAGGGCGACTATATACATTGCTGGCATAGGAAACACTGGTACTATTTAACATCTACATTGGAAAGTTTGTATTGTATTATAGCTTTGTGCAGCCCCAAATGTTTGTAACGCCGCGAAATATTGGTCCAAGACCCACCTTTAAGTATACCGATCATATCTCGATTAGCTGAGTCGATCTAGACATGTGTGTCCGTCCGTCCGTCTGTCCATTATAATTTGTAAACACGATACAGGGCACAGCTATGGACCAATCTTCACGAAATTTTGCATGTAGGATGTTTTGTGGCCAATGAAGACGCCTATTGTGAAAGAGATCGATTAATATTTAGGGGATGAAATCGACCAAAAATTTTATTTATGTCGGTTTTTCTGGTCGCACCAGAGGCCGCAATTATGACCTAAAAACCGGAAATTGTTGCATGGAGAAGGGGATCGGGCCAAAGAATAACCATGCCTGTTTTGATAAAGATCGGTCAATATTTAGCGGGTCAAATGCACCCTGACTTTTGTGCGAAAAATAACAAAATTTGTATCCTATAGCGTATAGATTTACCCCTGAAGGACATAAACACGGGAAGTTGATAGTATATCCAAGAGGAATGGTTGACCTTTAAATTGATACCAATTTTATTGTCGTATGTACTCGGATGTGGGAGTTACACTTAAATGTTTACAGGTGCTTACGTACTCAGATATTATTTAGTAACCCATTACCACACTAGAGGGCGGAAACTAATATCCAGGTATGGTCAAGGACAACGCCCATAATTTTCGGTGATGACCAGATAATAATGTTGGGATGAAGTGGACCGAAAACGTATTTTTTGTTTTTTTTTTCGAGTCGATCTACAGGCCACAATTGAAAGCCGAACATCACAAAACAACCCACGCTGAGGGGAATCTGAACAAGTAATTAGAAGGACTGTACTGAATATTATTAATATTTGTGGACCTCTGGTGGGTCAGGAGGGTGCAAACTTCGTGAAATATTTCCCAAGCTCAGAGTGTGGTACCACAGAAAGTTAGATGTTCATGGAAGTTGTGTAGGGTATCATATGGTCGGCCCCGTCCGACTATACTGCTCCGCTCACTGGTTTTATTTTATATAAAGTATTATTAAGTTCTCTATTTTGCCCTGTCCGTCCGTCAGATGGAATCATGTTAGAGATCGCAATATTGAAGATAGCACTTTGATATTACTCCTACGATGTTTGGTATTGGATTTTCACTGGGTAGCAAATATCCCTACAAAAATTATCAATAATGCTACACTTTTTAGGGTAGCACTATACAATATTTCACTCAAATTAGCTGCGCATAATGGCAACCTTATTTTTTGGCATTCTGGGGCTTGGCCACGATTTCCAACATAATTGGATTTAATTATTATTTTTTAAGTTCCCCTGGGGTGTCAAATATAAGGCTACTTTTTGGTATAGCTCCCATATAATGGCTCCACACATTTTCGGTACTTTTAAGGTTTTGGATGTAATTTGGTATAAAGATTTCGTGGAGGCTGTTGTGAACATATGTCGATCATTTCCTGTATGAAAATAATTAAGCATATGTAGGACCTTTTTGAAAAATTTTGAGGCATTTTCTTATTGTAGTGACACTAATGTGACATTCCTTGATGTTGGAGGTCAATATATATCTTTTGCTAAAAATTGTCTATATAGGTCCGAGTTTTTAAACAGACCACTGTTGTTAACCGAATTTTTTCCTCGAAGTGACTATAATTCCTTATGTCCGACTCTTGGAGAAAAAATCAACAACATAAAAATACCTCGTTTCATTTTCGGCATTTTGAAGCTCCCACCCCAAGTGTCGAACCTGAGGGTCTATAATTTGGACATTATTTATTCGGAGCATGGTCTATCAATGATATAGTCTCCATATAAAATTCCAAACGGACTTAGGGAATTTTGAGTTAACAACACGTGGTTGAGGGCATAAAAAGTTATATTTATTTGACTTTGTAATGTATAAATATGAAAGCTTTGGTTCAGAAGCCTATTTATACCCTTCTTCACACTGTGGTATAGGGTATAATGTCTTTGTACATATGTTTGTAACAGGGACAAGAAAACGAGATAGACACATGGTTCCTTTTGAGAATATGCATAGAATCACTTTTTAACTCGATTTATGCATATCCGTCCATCTGTCCATTTTATATTGTAAACAAAGTACAGGTCGCATTTATCCAAATTGGTATAATTTGGCATGAGTCACTTATTTGGCCTAAAGACGAATCGTGTTGGAGGAAATCGGTTCAGATTTAGATAGACCTCCCATATATAGCTTCGTTCGATTTTATGTAAATGGTGCACTAAACTCTAAACTGAATTAGGCACAGAATGGTATGTGCGAATCTTTTTGGAAATCCGTTCAGATTTAGATAAAGCTCCCACAATTTCATCTAAATGGTGTACTAAATAACTAAATTATGTGCGATTACGACGGATTAGTGGACAACGTACCAAATGGAACCCAGAATAACGTGTACTAGATTTGGTGTCCAGATCAGTTTTGGATAGCGCAGCATGCCAAATGTTGGTTGCCACTTTTTTTCAAATATAGGTTCAAATATATATGTTCTTCACCCCGGTAATTTCGTCCGGTTCCATTTCAGTGGTTCAAAGATGTCATGGTTATTCTATTTACCGATTATTATTCATATGAACATCTTTTTTATGTACCCAAGTGGTGAAGGGTGTGATACCCGTTCGACTTTTGAACTTTCCCTCCACCATAGTATGGAGGTTATATTAATTTTGTCATTCCGTTTGTAACTCATCGAAATATTAATTTCCGACCTATAAAGTATATATATTCTTGATCAGGGTAAAATTCTAAGACGATCTAGCCATGTCCGTCCGTCTGTCCGTCAATTCTGAAGGAATTGAGATTGGGTGCTCAAATTTTGCATAGGTTTGTCTTTAATCTGCAGGCAGTTCAAGTTCGAAGATGGGATATATCGGTCCACGTTTAGGCATAGCTCCCATATAACAGTACTCCCCAATTTTCGGTATTTTGGGGTTCTTGAGCGCGTTTTTCAACCGAATAGCCTGAAATTTGGTACATTGAGTTCTTATTGGGTACTAAATGTCCCCACAAAAAATTATAAATATTGGTCCACTTTTTCTGGTAGCCTTCCATATAACTGATCGTATTTTCCACCGAATTGGCTGTAATTTAGTATTTTGAGTTCTTAATAAGTACCAAATCTCTCCACAAAAAAATTTTCAAATAGGTACATTTTTTTCGGATAGCCACCATTTAAGGGAACCCCCCATTCTCGATTTTAATTTTTCAAGATTTTCAATGGGCTGGTAAATCAATACCAATGCTTGTTGAGGTTTGTAACTTTGCACATATATAATTGAAGATAAAAAAAGAAGAAAAATAATTTACAAAAAATTTTTGTTACTGTTTTGTTGTTGTTTTTTGTAATTAAAAAAGTCCTTATTTTTGATGGAGGGCATTATAACTCCTCACTGGAACATCGGAATCCGAAAAAAAATGCCTGGCTCTCGTATGAACTAGGATTATTGACTTCGCTCTAAAATTAACAAAATGGTGGACCTTTGAAAAAATATTTTTGGAAAATAGCCGATTTTTTACCAAAAAACAAGTTAAAAAATAAGGAAGATCTTCACCGATTGGCTTTATCCTAGTTCATACGAGAGCTATACACTCCCAGAGAAACGTTGCAAAATTTGGAACCGATTGGATTATTAGTTTTTGAGTTATCGTGTCCGCCATTCGCAAAAAAATTTTTAGAGAAAAACGCGTTTAAAGTTTGAGAACCCTTCAGCCGTCACTTGATGCTGACACAATAAATCGGCTATATCTTCAAGAGTTCTTGAGATTTTCACTTGAAATTTTGTAGGGACATTATTTAATCAGTGTAGGTTCGAATTATATCAACAAAAATTTTGACCTCGAGAATGGGTGGGTCCCCTTAAGTGTACCCCTAATTTTCGGTATTTTGGGGTTCTTGAACGCGTTTTTCAACCGAATTCGCTGAAATTTGGTATTTTGTAGTCATATATGGTAGCAAATCTCCCCACCAAAAATTTTTAATATTCGTCTCCTTTTTGGGGTAGTCCCCATATAACACAATTTTTTATATTAAAATAGTTATCTGATTTGTTCCGCGTTTTGAGTTTGGTTCTAAGACTCTGTTGTAATCATTTCTTGTGTGGAGGTTCCAGAGGGAGTGCACTGATATTAACCATCTTCGAATTTGAACAAAGTTTGGAAGAAATAATAAGATGGGCAAAGTTTGGATGAAATCTAAATTTCTAGAACCAATATTTCGATGAAGCACATTTTCACCGTGTTAAAGTGTATGCACCCTCATTAGCCATTAGGCTGAGGGTATAATTATCCATTAAAAAGTTCTGAAATTTTTATTATGGTTAACATTATGGTTTACATAATCTGTTTTTAGACATGTCGGTATAGGTCCACTTTTTCGTATGTTCTCTATATTTTCATTTCTAGTAACTGTCAGTATATCTATGGTGGAGGGTACCCAATGTTCGGCCCGGCCGAACTCAACGTTTTTTTAATTGTTTTTTTTTTAACTTGTTACAAAAAATTCAAATTTCAAAAAAAAATTGTTTATGATGTATTCTATTAATTAATAATTTATTTATAATCCAATTTTCGTGCAATAAATTTTATTTTAGACGTTATTTGGTTAGCCCTAACATTGGAATAAAATTTATAAAAATTTAACCGCCAAATTTTCCATATATACCAACCTTATTATTGGTTAAAATTCTTCGTTTTGTTTTCAATTTTATCGAGAGGAAATATTGCATATTCAGTTTCATATTATTTTTTACTTACCATAAATATTTAAACGCGCAGAATGTTGAACTCGTCCAGCTCGATTTTCTGCAGTGCATGAATATTCTCCACCATCCTCGACCATGACATGGGTAATGTTAACGTGACTGATAACATCACCGTGGACCGTTATATATTGGCCAATCATAAATCTGTGAATTAAAATTATTGGTTAAAAATAATTACGAATGAAACATTAAAGACCATTTTAAAACGTCGATAAATTTTACTTTATATTAAAAATCGTTATTCTTTATGAAAATTGCATGGAAATGTGCAGATACTCCGCATTCTTATTTTTAAAAATTTTTTGTATGACAACATACCTAAGATGAAAAAAAAAACATTGAATTGATTCCCATTGAAACATACCCATAACAGCACATTATTTAGTCATATATATATGTAGATAGTACATCTTTACATATACATATCTCCTGTTGTCTGGTATATATGTGTCCATGTGATATATCCTTTGTTTACATCTGATTGGAAAAGCTTTTTGGATTAATAAGAGTTTATTCTGAATGTATGTAAGAGTATACGACACAATGTCATTCGCAGCGTCCAACACAACCTTCATTTCTCGTCAGTGTAATCATTATTATGTTGTCTTTTTTACCCATTATATCTATAGTACATATAGATGTACATATGTATGTATATAAATTCTAGCATATCTATGTCGGATAATCAACAATATTCTCATTCCAGATATGAACAAAGCCATTTGCAGTGATTAATACGACAATGTCATGGTACATGTATAGGGATATGTGTATACCAGATAATTATCAACGACATACACACATAGATTTATGTATACAGTATAAGGGGAGGATCACGCCATATTTGTTTAGTAATTAATTTGAAATACATTGTTTTTGTCATTTGTTTTTTTCCTCGTCATTCTCCTGTGTAGGGAATATAGAAATCCATCTATTAATGTTTGAAAATAGCTACACAAATATGTTTACATGAATACTGTCTGACATTAGAGTGTAATGCTAGATAGCTATTATTTGAAATTATTGTCAACATATCGACGCCTCCCAACCATAGTATGCTAAGTCTGAAAAGTGAGCTTTTCAGTAGAAGCTTTCAAAGTATGGAAGTTTTTTTAATCGTACTTGCCATGCTAAGTACATTTTTGCTTATAACTTTGGTTTGGATTGGCCGATGATTACCAAAATTTCAGTGAATTTAAATTAAGGACCGTAGTATCTAAAAACGTGAAGAACTTTAAAACATGCTAAGTCGACTTAGCATACTATGGTTCGGAGGCGTCGATATATACAATTCGATGGTTTTTATTTTTAAGGGATTATCATAAAAAGTGGACCAATATTGATTGTTTTTTGGTAGGAAAATTTACTAACCAATGAAAATTCAATAAACCCAATTACAGCCAATTCGGATGAAAAAACGTGTCCAAACTCTCCAAAATACTGAAATACTTGGAGGTACGGTTATATGATGTATATCCATGATTCGACATAGCCCTCATATAGGAATATCTGCCGATTTAAGTTGTTTTGAATGCCAACCTCATAGTGGAGGATATCAAAAGTAAGACCCGGTCGAAATGGTCGATGATATTTTTATTTAAACATACTTAGGCATGTTTGTTAAGTAACAATAAAACTCTAAGCCCCACTGTTGTTCACAGGCAACAATATGGTTAAGGACTTAGATTATCGTCATTCTATATAAAAAGCTTTCAGAGTCCGTTTGTTATTTAGTGTAAGTAAAGTATAAACATGTAAAGTATAAAGGCCAAATTGTTAGGTTCAGCAAAAATAATTAATATTTTTTAAAAAAACACAACAATTCGGAATTGACAAAACACCAATTATTTTCAATTTGACATTGAATTGCCCATATACATTTCATTTATGTTTAATCATTACATCTATGTACTGGTTTATTAATGTTTTATATAACAAATGAAGAAATGCAGCTATGTGATTGTAATTATTTCAGGATACACTGTGTAACCCAACTGACGATTGGGATTCTCTACACATTTCAAGGTAAACAACAATACCACAGATTAATCAGAAGTTTTTTCTTTACATGAATATCGTCTGTGTCTGTGAGTTTTGTAATTAAAAAAATGTTTAGTATTCTCCAGTTTAAAGGGAACGTGTAAAAACATGCCCTTAATCAATCGGGACTTTTATATGGCGACTATGTCATTATACCCTTCACCACATTGTGGTACAGGGTATTATGTCTTTGTGCATATGTTTGTAACAGGCAAAAGGAATCGATATAGACTTATGGTTCCTTTTGAGAATATGTATAGAATCACTTTCTGAGTCGATTTACGCATGTCCGTCCGTATGATCCGATTTGGATGAAATTTGGCACAGCCCACGAATTTAGGCATAGCTTACAAAATTAAGTCGACAATGGTGTGTGCTAAATTTCAGGAAAATCGGTTCAGATTTATATATCCGATATATAGGAATTTTAGAAATTTGGCACCAAAGTCCTTGAAAATCATTACATTAGGTTTTGGCCCAGGACGAAAATGAAATAAAATTGGAGAAAATCGGTTCAGATTTAGATATAGCTCCCATATATATTTTCGCCCGATTTTGGGTAAATGGTGCACCAAAGACCCTGAAAATCATTAGATTTGCACGAATTTTTGTATAGCGTACAGAATTAAGTGTAGAATGACGCGTGCTAAATTTCGGGAAAATCGGTTCAGATGTAGATATAGGTCCCATATATAGTTTCGCCCGATTTTAGGTAAATGTTCCACCAAAGTCCCTGCAAATCTTTTGGTGTAGCTCCCATATATAGTTTCGTCCGATTTTAACTAAATGGTGCACCAATGTCCCTGGAAATCATCAGATTTGCACGAATTTTGGCAGAGCGTACTGAATTATGTCTTATATTTAGATATAGCTCCCATATATTGTGTCTTCCGACTTTATATATATGGTGTACCAAAGTCCCGGAAAACTTTAGATTTGAACGAAATTTAGCATAGGGTAATGAATTAGTGTAAGAATGAAGTGTTATAAGTTTCCTGAAGATCGGTTCATATTTAGATATATGCTCCCATATATATTTTCGTCCGATTTTATGTAAAGGTGTATCAAAATCTTTATATATCTTTCGATTTGCACGAAATTTTGCATAGGGTAATGAATTAGGTCAAGAATGAAGTGTTATAAGTTTCGTGAAAATCGGTTCAGATTTAGTTATAGCTCCCATATATATTTTAGTCCTATTTTATGTAAATTGATTGACACAACGTACTGAAATTTGTGTTCCGACGACGTCCGTTAGGGTACATATGTTGAATATATCCAAAGTGGTGAAGGGTATCGTATAGTCGGCCCAGTCCGACTTTACTACTTTCTTTACTGGTTGCATTATGTGGTAGTTGGTAGTTCATGCTCTGAAAATATAATGTCCAAATTATAGACAATGAGGTTAGAATCTTGGGTAGCATTCACAAGCGGCTAAAAATGTGAATGGTGTTTATGGTTCTGATACTCCATTCAGGAATTATTGTGTTAAAGATAGACGTCGCCGGTCGTCGAAAATGTCGATAAAATCGGAGATATGATCGAACTTGACCGGCATGTTAGCAGTCGTAACATCGTCCAGGAGCTAAAAATCGGCCACAAAACTGTTTTAAACCATTTACACAATGAAATAATGCTAATAATAATGGATTTCTTTTTCCTCAAACTAACATCAAATTTCAGACCAATTCCCCTAAATACCGAAATTAGAGATGTGCCTATTTTATGGAGGCTGTCATAAAAAGTGGACCAATATTGTAAATTTTTCATAGGAAACGCTATCAAATAGGACGGAACATTAAAATTAGGGCCATACCATTGTATATTTTCTTTAATAAGTTTTTTTTTTGATCTTTGGGAAAATGAAATGCCTAATTAAAAACACGCAGGTTGAATAATTGTGCTTAGATTTTGAACGATAATAAGGCGGGACCTTGAGCCCACATATTTCGACAATATATGATGAAACTTACGGATGACAGATCATTGAACTTTACATATTTTAATTACAGTGTCCAATTCTGGATACTGTCAGATCTGATATATATGGTATATATGGCGGACAGATTCATATACAACATTTGAACCTCGATCTTTTACCGTATCCTTTCCACTATGTTACATTTAATCCAACTCTGAGGTGCCGAGAAACTTAAAAAATGTTTCTTGAAAAGTGCATAACGTAGGCTCGCATATTTTATCAACAAAATAAATATATATAAGACACGGTATTGGAATAGACATAAAAAAAATTAACCAATGGCATGTGTTGTCATTGTATTTCGAATTTCGGTTCATATTTTGAGAGCATATCCCTAATGACGTTTTTTAAGATTAATATATAAATATACATAATGTATGTTTTCTTTAATATTAACCCAGATTTGTTTTTTTAGAATCATTTGATTATTCGTTTTCAGGGAAACACAATCTCTGCTTTCAAAAATTTATGCATACGCGTATATATCAATTCATTTGATCTCCGTACAAAAACTAATATTTTGCACTATTCTTATCGAAAATTTTGTTTTGTTAACCATAAAATATTCCTGGAGTAAATATTTGTTTAAAATAAAATATGTTTTTTGTAAAGCTATGCGAATAAATTGAGAAGCCAGAGTAGAATTTGCACAAATATTTGTGTATTGGAATACAAATAAAATATATTTTTGTTTTGCTATTCGACGGATTTTTTGATAGCTTTAAAATTGTTGTTCCTGTCCGTAACTCAGTGTGTGTGAAGTTTATTTTGCTTTTTTTCGTGTGGCAACTTCAACTAAAAGTTCAATTACCTTCCGTTTGATGGTAGTGGAAAACCGTCCAGTGTCCATGAAATTTGTGGCGTTGGATTTCCGGCTGCCGAGCATTTCAAACTTACTGCCGGACCCGGTTGTAATGTTTGCTCAATAAAACTGTACAGTAAAACGGGTGGGGCATCTGTAAACGAGAAAAAACACAGAAAGAGAAAAGAATGAAAAAGGCAAATGAATAAAACAAAACAAAACACAAAATAAATAAAAGCCGAATGACCAGCAACAGTACTCAAATATGAAATGGAATGAATTCGTATAAACTACAACGACTAGCTGTAGCAATAATGGACATAAGCTAAATTAATGGTGAGATTACCTCCTAATTGCAGCTCAGCAGTAGCCTGAAATGTATCACCCTCCGGCCTACGAACAACGCATTGATACATGCCACGATTTTCACGACCAACTCGTGGTACGATAAGGGTATCCTCAATGCGGCCAGACGATGGCAACTGCCGGCCATCTTTGTACCATAGGATGTTTTGCATGCCCACCGGGCTGCCATTGCTGGTCACCAAACAACGAAACTCAGCCGTACCACCCATATGGACACTTAGTATATTTGGTTGAATTTCGACTTGAATGGGTGTAGCGACCGAAAGACGTAGCTCGGCACTTGCCTCACCGCCTACATTGCTGGCCGTACATTTGTAGACGCCGGAATCTTCACCGGTAACAGCTTCAATTGCTAAAATCGGTCCCAGCAAACGAATACGTGGACCACTTAAAACAGGCAATGGACCGGGGCCATTGTGTGTATACCAACTGAAATTAGAAGAATGAGAATAGATACGTTAAAGAACAAATGTTAGTAGCGATTATATAAACATTAGGGTTAATCTATTACAGTTTTCGGAATCTGTAATAATTTCCATTTTCAAGATCGAATGTACAAACTAAACACATTAAAGTGTGTTTGGTTTTACCAACTGTTAATAAATACGTCATTGCCGAAATTCCTGTTCATCCAAACAGTCTGTAATATCGTATTTCAGTATCATAATTAAAATATAAAACTAATGTAGCAATACATAGTCATTTCGGAATCGTTGCAAACTCTTGGGGCTGCACAAAGCTATAATACCCTGACAACATAGTTGTGTAGGGTATAACTAGAAAATCACGTTTTGTGAGTTATGCCTCTTTGTAGCAAATGAGCGATATGTATCCTAACAAATTCATGTCAATGCTCCTTCGATGTGATCTATAAGTGAACCGGCCAACACCAATCCATGCACATGCCTTCCTGTAATCTATGCTAAATTTCATTTCATTCGGGCAGATTTGGAGTCGTTTGTGTACAATAAGAAAAATTTATGAAAATCGATTTATAGCACACTTGATAAATGCTATGCGGTATGCCGCACTGTTAAAAATTTTATCTCAATCAGACACCAGTTTTAAATATATAAGGAAGCTATATATCGTCACCAATTAAAACAAGTGATAGATATACTGACAGTTACTAAAAATGAAAATATAGAAAACATACCAAAAAGTGGAACTATACCGACATTTCTAAAAACTTGGTTCTAGAAATTTAGATTTTATCCAAACTTTGCCCATCTTATTATTTCTTCCAAACTTAGTTATATGGGGCTACCCCAAAAAGATTTGCTACCATATACGACTACAAAATACCAAATTGCAGCGAATTCGGTTGAAAAACGCGTTCACCAAAATACCGAAAATTAGGGGTACCCTTAAATGGGGGCTATCCGAAAAAATTGACCTATGTGAATAATTTTTTGTGGAGAGATTTGGTACTTATTATAAACTCAAAATACTAAATTACAGCCAATTCGGTGGAAAAATACGATCAAACCCCCCAAAATACTGAAAATTAGGATGTAGAGTTATATGAAAGGCTACCAGAAAAAGTGGACCAATATTTATAATTTTTTGTGGGAACATTTAGTACCCAATAAGAATTTAATGTACCAAATTTCAACATATTCGGTTGAAAAACGCACTCAAGAACCCCAAAATACCGACAATTGGGGGGTACTGTTACATGGGAGATATGTGCATATGTTTGTAACAGGCCAAATGAAACGAGATAGACCCATGGTTCCTTTTGAGAATATGCATAGAATCATTTTCTGTGTCGATTTACGCATGTCCGTCCGTCTGTTCGTCCATGTATATATATATATGTATATAAATTGAATTGCTGTTCGTTAGTCTCACTAAAACTCGAGAACGACTGAACGGATTTTTCTTATCATTGTCTTGATATGTTCGTGGAGCTCCAGGGAGAGTTTAAAAGGTGAGAAAAAGTCGAAAACCGCGAAAATTTTTCAAAAAAATATTATGAAGCATATTTGCATTTCCACGAATTTAGTATCGAGCTATTTTGATTGCACCATGTCGTAGTTTTATTTTGAGATTTTTGATCAAAAATTGGTAGCGTATCATTCTTTTGAGCCCTCATTTGTCAATTATTGAAAATTTTCAAAGTATTTAATTTTTTCAATTAGATTGACATTGTATTGAAAATATTTTATGTCAGAATACAAAAAAAAAATTATTTAAAAAGTATATTATTGAATGCACACGCGATTCACATAGAATTCACGTAATTTTGGGACAAATGCAAGGATGGAAAATTAGAAGACATTGTGAATCGAGTATGTCTCCATTCATAGAATTTTGATTTTAAGATCCATGCCTAGATTATTTTGTTTGAAAATAATAATAATAATTCCATAGGAACATGTTATTCCTTGAATTACCTATGCCACGAGAAGTATAAAATCAGGTACCATTATATGGTGGTTATATATCTGATCGAGGGTCAATATCAACACAAAACCTTGCATATATCCGATATCAAAATGTTTATCACAGAGAAAACTAATATAACAAGATACTTTGAATCGATTTTTTTCTCTAACTTTCCTCTTCAATGCAAAGTTCGACTATGAAAATATATAAAGCAGCAATATAAAAAATATATAGAGCTTTGAAGTTTTGCACATATATTGTTATTACTCCTTAGATGTTTCATATTGCAAATGGGATATATCGGTAAACCATCAATATAAAAAATGCATAATAAACATAATATCTAATGTGAAGGATATACCAAAACTTCCGTCAAAAACATACATTATAACATAGAGTCTCATGATGTTACCAATTCGTTTTACAAATACCTCAACATGCCAATTACCGATATATAAAATGAGGACATCTAATAACAAGTAAAAACGTCGTTAAGTTCGACCGGGCCAAACTTTATACCAGCAGTCGTTCGGAGATTGTGGAGACTATCCTAATTTATCGATATCGATAAATTTTGGTAAGGAGATTTGTTACCCCATGGGAACTCAATGTATTATATTACAGGCAATTGGTTGAAAACGTGCATAAACACCAAAACACTAATGGTGGTAGCGTTATATGGGGATATCTTAAAAATTAAACCAATATTCATAGTTTTTGGTAGAAAGATTTGCTACCATATGTTATAACCGAATTATATAACCGGTTATAACCGAATTAGCCAAACATCCTACAATACGGAATAATGGGTAGTACCGTGATATAAGAGCTATCATAAACCAGTAAGGAAAGTAGTAAAGTCGGACGGGGCCGACTATATGATACCCTTCACCACTATGGGTATATTAAACAGGAATATTAACATAAAATTGGCTAACTAACATGAGGAGTTTGATGCCCAATTTACTTAAAATCGGGCGAAAATATATATGGAAGCACTATCCAAATATCAAGCAATTTCAAACAAACTTGTCATAGGATAGGTTATACTAATTTCAGAACGTTTTGTTCGTATTGATTCCTTGGTGCGTCAATTACTTAAAATCAATCTATAATAAAAGGGAGCTATATAGAAAGCTGGACTGATTTTCTCGAAACTTGGCAGACATCACTCTAGGCTCAATTCAGTACGTTATGCCAAATTTCGTGCAACTCGAGGGATATATAGGGACTTTGGTGCACCATTTACATGAAATTGGACGAAACTATATATGGGAGCTATATCTAAATCTTGACCTATTTTCACGAAACTTGGCAGACACCATTCTAGACTCAACTCAGTACGTTATGCCAAAATTCGTGCCAATCGAAAGATATTTAGGGACTTTGGTGGACCATTTACATCAAATCGGACGAAACTATATATGGGAGCTATATCTAAATCTGGACCGATTTTCTCCAAACTTGGCAGACATCTCTCTAGGCTTAATTCAGTACGTTATGCCAAATTTCGTGCAAATCAAAAGATATATAGGGACTTTGGGCACCGAATAAGTGACCTATGCCAAATTTCATCCAATCCGGATCATAAATGCGACCTGTACTTTGTTTACAATTTAACATGGACAGACAGACAGACGGACGGAAAATGCATAAATCGACTTAGAAAGTGATTCTATGCATATTCTCGAAAGGAACCATGTCTCTATCTCGTTTCCTTTTGCCTGTTACAAACATATGCACAAAGACATAATACCCTGTACCACAGTGTGGTGAAGGGTATAAAAATGGGGACCATATCGCAAAAAATGCCAAATTACAGACAAAATGACGAATATTGGGGGTACCGTTATATGTGGGGTTATACATATACTTTCTGGGGTCTGCTAAGGCAAGACAACGTTTGCCGGGTATATATACATATATATTCGCGTCCATCAAAGTCCCTATATATCTTTCGATTTGCACGAAATTTGGCCCAGCGTAATGAATTAAGTCTAGAATGATGTGTGTTAAGTTTCCTGAAAATCGGTTCAAATTTAGATATAGCTCCCATATATATTTTCGTCCGATTTAATGTAAATGGTGCACCAAAGGCCCTTATTATTTTTCGGTTTGCACGAAATTTGGTACATCGTAATGAATTAGGTCTAGAATGATGTGTGTTATGTTTCCTGAAATCGGTTCAGATTTAGATATAGCTTCTATATCTGACCAAATGAAAAATTTAGTATCGGTTGTAGAATGACATGTTTATGGATCCAATTTCATTTTACTGGTCTGTTAGGATTCATCTGTTGAATATACCCAAAGTGGTGAAGGGTATCATATAGTCGGCCCCGTCCGACTTTACTGTTTTCCTTACTGGTTTTAATTTAAACTGAATTTTTCCTTAAGTGATAAAATCATGCATTCTCTGTTAACTGCTCTCTTTGGTATGTATATTACAAAATATAAATACGATTAAGAGCATAATTGATTAACATCAGATTTCTTTTTGCATTTTCCTGTAGAATCAAAGAAATATAAAACCGATTACGCTTTCGACTCTTTGCAATGGAAATGTTTTATTTTTTTTTAATTTACCGAGTTGAGTATTGGCCAATATTAAGTGGTTGTGAAAAAAGGTTTATAATTAGGGTGTTGTATAATATGATACCAAAAGGATGTACGCCTGCTTTCACAAACGCTTTGTCGGCGAAGAGATTCAAAAAAATAAACTAAAGGGGTTTCAGGCGGACATTCATTCGCATATTTTTCAACCATAATATGATTTTTTTACTCGTTTTACTAAGCTTTTCTTAACCATGATTAAAGTTTTAACAAATATGGAATATTTACATACATGTTGATGCATTTCACAAATACCAAAGAAGCTGTATGTATCGTTCTAATTGCTGTTGTTGTCGTATGTATTTGATTTCTACCTGTAAAGTTATTTCTGTCTGTTTTACAGCAAAACAAGAAAAAAAAACAACAACAGCAACTGCTGCA